ACCTCTATCTCAATATTTCACTAAGTCTGCAATTAGCCTCAAAATTTGCTCATACATGTGTTCACAAATGAACCATTTTCTTCTGTATCTCAGGTACTCCAATCTGGATTTCTTCATGTTATTTGTATTTTTATTTCTTCTCTTAATCTGGTAAGTCCCTCAAGAATGTCTGTTTCAGGGCCGGCCGAGTGGCGCGATGGTTGGGAACTGGCTTGGGACGCCAGATGGCCCCGGTTCGGATCCCACATATGAGGGCCAGTGACACTGCCCTCTACAGCTAAGATGCTGAACAACAGCTCAACCTGGAGCTGGGCAGCCGTGAGTCGCTGGCGACGGCAGAGGCTGCAGCCCCTGTGGCAGTGGGTTGCCATGGGCTGCCGTGTGTAGCCAGCAGCCAGCGTGAGCGGCCAGCAGCCGCAGTGAGCGGCCGTCCAGAAGCCGGTGACTGATCTGCCTCGCCCGGGAACAGCGCAATGATGGTGCCAACTTGGGCCAGTGAAGCAACGTCCTCCACAACTAGACTGAAGAACAAAAACGACAGCAACTTGTCTGTTCCCCTTCCCCCAATTCCCCAGCACTGTTCCCATCCCCCCCAATTCCCCAATAAAAATCTTTAAAAAAAAAAAAAAAAAAAGAATGTCTGTTTCATCTTTGTGTACCCTGTGCCCAAAGTTCCTCAATAAATGAGAAAAATGTAATCATCTAGCCCTCAAAGATCAGCTAATGAAGTATTTACACAATATCATTATTGCAAAAATAATCACATAATCTGCCCAAACTTCAAAACTGTGAAAAACCCTTAATGTGACAATTATATTCACACTAATTTTGGAAGGGAAAGGGAAAAAAAAACAAAAAACAAAACTGGTTCAAAACATTATCACATACCTCACCAAAACCACCAAAGTACTCTCTTATTTTCTCTTCAGGTGTATCTGGAGAAAGGCCACCAACAAAAATTTTTTTAACAGGTTCTTTTGTTTTCATGGCTTTGGCCCTTTTAGGATCAATCACCTTCCCATTCAATTTATGTTCTTTCTGATCCATGACCTAAGGAAATTGAAGTTTTTCAGTTTAAATATTTGTATCTTAAAATTCACAGACTATTATATTAACTTACTTAAAAATAATTATAGTTAAATATAGCTAATGGTAGGCATATGTTGACTGGCTTATGATTAAACTGCCAAATTGTGATGTGACAGCAGCTACATACACCAGTGTCTAAACATGAAGGTCCTTAAGAATGGGGAGGAGAGACACAAATTTTATCAGCAACTAGAAAACATCACACCTTCAACTATTAGCAATATAAACATGATTGCTACTTTCCCTTAGCCCAAGACTAAAATGATTCAAAGTTTTTTACCTAGCATATTTCAAGCTCTGTATTTCTGTGAACTTGTCACAGCACATCCTTTTAACCATCTTTAAGTCTCAGTATTTTAAGTTAATTTACATTTATGTAGTAGAGCCTGACACACAGAAGGTATTCAGTAAACAATGTTTTTAATACTTGGGCATATTTATAATTTTTCATTAAAGATATACTTGGCACAGTAAACAGTTCTTTTATCTGACTCTTCATAAAATGTACTGGCTTGAACTGTATCCCTTAGTATTATTGCAAAATGGGAAATCACACATGGACAAATTAATTTTATCAAACTATTCACATATTTTATATTAACTGATCAGAACACGGAACACACTACCTTATCTACACTCTCCGACTCTTTAAATAGCACAAAGCCAAAACCCCTTGATCGCCCCGTGATAGGATCTAACTTCAGAGTGCAGTCTACAACTTCACCAAATTTGGAGAAGTAGTCCTTCAGATCTTTCTTTGTAGTGTCCCAGCTAAGGCCGCCTATAAACATTTTCCTGTAAAGACAAAAAGCAATATTAAAATGCTAAAAAAATAAATCAAACTTTGCCTTAAGTATCCACACATCAATACCTTTTCCAAACTGCACTAATTTACTGGTCAGTATATGAAAATGTCATTCTTCCTACATGACCACATATCAAGAAAACCCTATTCCAGTTGTGAAAAGGTTTGCTTTATCACTGCTGCACCTACATAATTACAATATAGTGAGCAAGCAGCAGATTCTTTTGACTTGCCAAAAAGATAAATGTATCTATCCTCAAAGTAAAAAACTGTACATTAAGTCTTTCTTAAATTACATGTTAAATAGTGGTAACAGCAAAAAAGAATTTTAGCTTCAAATTTCTCTTCCAAATCTTCATTATACTTGTAAAAAGGCTATGTAGTCCCCGTTGATCACAGCGACAGCATGTCTATGCTGAAGCTCCTTTCTATTTAAGTTCTCTTATAAACAAAACTCTTAGCACATAAAATGGAAAATTCTAAGTCTCACAATTAAGTTGTAAACCAAGTTTTTTGATGTTAAAAGTCCTTAAAGACAAAAGTAATCATGTAAACAATTCAGTGAACAAAAAGAATTATCCACTGAAGCACAATCCACTAATTAACCTGATGATTTATTTACAGTAGAACCTCAGTTAACCAGCAATATTTAAACCTTCAAAATGCTAAAAGTGACCGGCGGTAAACAGAAACCACCAAGACACTTTAAGACCAAAAATATATACTCCAAACAAAATTTTAAGGTGAAAATTGTTTTGTTTTGCTTTTTCCAGCAAAAGGCCATAAAGCTCAGATCCTTTTTAGATCTGCTCCCTCTCCAAAAAGAGCTAACGTATATCCTACCTTTTAAAGAGACAGGACTGGAGATTTTCATTTTAAGGGTAAACTGTCAGAATTTGTTACGTGAGGGCTAAAAATTTCACTGTGGGAATAAAATCATCCTTGCTCAATGATTTCTCATCTTTATAACTGGGGTGGGTCATGGGGGGGATGGGGATGTGGTGCTAACTTCCAGCTCTGGAAAGAAATTAAGCAGGAAACATCTACATCTTGTGGGATTTTAGGATATTGCCACTAAAGCCAATTCTTGCAACAAGAGGCCAATTTTATCCCTAGAATAAGATCTTGCGTCTGCTTCTCCCTAAAGATGCCCGATTAACTGAGGTGTTACTGATCTTACTATTTAACCCACAGATTTGTTTTTACTTCTTATGAAAGTTAACTTTTAATGCAAAAGAAGTCTTACTTTAGGCATATATTGTGCTTGCTATTTCAGGTTAGATTTTCAACTTGTACATGTATTCTAGAGCCGGGCCATTTATATGCTTAACTTTCAGGACTTTCTCTAATAAAACTTCCATGCTTGAAGTAACCATTATTAACACTTTCTGTACTTTATAGTCAAATGAACAAAACACCCATGCTGTATAGGTATTTTTCATGTTTACTGCCAATTCCATGGGGGGATATGTGGAGGTATTTTCAATTACATTTTCTTTCATTCAAATAAAGCACCTTCTACCATCCAACCTTAATCACTGAAGTTGCCTTAAACGCCTTATTTTTTAACCTAAAGATCCAGAGCATTTTCTTTATAGATGAAAGTTCATTGCCAACATCTACCCTTTCAAAAAGTGAGGACATTACCATCTTTTTAAAGATAAGAAAACTAGTAAAGCAATGACCTCTTGCTCAAATATTCCATAAGTTCCAGAACAGAAACTTTAATTAAGTTGAAATTTAACTATTAAATCACCAATTGTATAATTATAGAAACTTTTCATCAATAATTTAAGTTTGACATTACTTCAGCCTAAAGAGAATATCTAATATCTGAGGAATAAATAAACCACACAATTTTGCCTTTCAACTTTAGCTTTTAAAAAAAAGGCTTTTGTTATCTATTGAGAAAGAACTAGTTTTGATTTTATTTAACCAAGGCAATGTTTATATTGGGTTAAGTGTCATTATTTTAAAATTAAGAAACAGAAAACAATGACAAAGAAATAAATTATGAGGCATGCCCTACTATTATTCACAAGCCCCAAATGTTTTTACAGCATAAGAAGTCAGTTTTCTTAAATATCAGGTAAGCATTCTAATTCATCAACTAGCCCAATAAAGTGCTCTCCAAAGAAATTTCCCACCTTTAATAGTCTTTGGTAGAGAAGTTGTTAAATGTGCCCACCACTTTAGAACTAAAAGGTATTTAAGATGTTATCCTTCCTAAACAATCAAATCCCATTTATCTAGGATATAAAGTATTCTGGTTCAGCTATAATTTACACATATTCCACAGAATGATTACTATTTCTCAAAAAATTAGAGCAAAATATGTAATGAAACTTCAGCTATCCAACACCTTTAGAGAATGAGAGCCAAATATTCCACCTTCTTTAAAGCATTGCCAGCCTTCCCTAATCTCTCCCCAACTTTAACCCTAATTTGTAATAAAATTTTTTTCTACAATATATCACTCTTCTGCCTTCTTAATCAAATACAGTAATCATGATTAACAGTGGTCAGTCATCCCTATTCTACTATAGCATGCCTGTAGCATCTTCTGATAGAGAGCTATTTAATACATAAAGTATATCTCATTTTTTAGCTCTTTTAACAAGTTCTTATTTTGCCAGATTAATCACCAGTTGCTATTCTAAAATGCCTCCTTCTCCCATTTTTGTAGTAAGTAGCCAGCACTCTAACTTTTCAAATTTTGCGTAAAAATAAAGTCTCTGGGCAAGAGCCCAAGTGACACTTCTGAAGCAAATGCATTACATTTTGGTAGCCCCAAAAAGCACTTTTTTCTTCTGCTCTAATATTGCAGGACAGTATTAGAGGACAACCAGACAGCTAAAGCAATGAACACAAACTACCAAATCCATTCTATCTTTACTAAATGGAACATATTAACTTTATTCCATCTTTATTCAGTGTATATATACAGTATAGTATAGTAAGAAAAGGTCTGTTATCTTAATTCTGGACAAATGGGAACTTCTTTTAGCCTCCCTAGAATATCAGCATTCTGACATGCTCTCCCCCTCAAATTATGACGGTTTAAGATGTTACCAATTTAAATTTTCTGTATTTTATATTATTGTATCTTGCTTAAAGCATAAGTATTGTCCATCCAGACTACCCCTGCTGCTCTGAACACAAAGACTGACTTGCAAGTTGCTGTCACTCCTACAGGATGTGCAAATAACTTGACAATGAAGTCGGGACAGAACTTCAGAAAAATCCTAAGCAGCCAAGTTAAAACTACATCACAAGACTCACTCAAATAGTAACAAAAATGGGTTCCTAATGCTGCAATGTAAGTTTAAAATTTGATCCTTAGTTGTAGTTAATCAGTAATTCTAATTAAAATGAAGGACTTCATCTACAGTATTTTATTAACAAAGTTGAATTTCTTAATCCTACCTATAAATTATTTAGCAGCCCAAAGGCTACTCAATTTAGGAACACCTACTCAACAACTGAAATCTTGCTTTTAAGATACTGGTATTACACCATATTAAATGACAGGAAGAGTTATATAACCCAGTACAGATGACTTATCTAAATGCTATGCAGTGTCATTTAGGAATTTAGGCCGTTTTGTGGGACATATTTGTGGAGAAAGTAAATTTATAGAGGCAGTAAGCCAAACTGCCTGGGTATAAATCCTACCTGCACCATTTACTAACTGTATGACCCGAAGAAGTGGGGGGAGGGGGGAATTCTATGATTGTTTCCACATCTGTAAAAGAGGAAAAAAAAAAAGAGACTAAAAGCATACATTGTATATATGTATGTGAGCCTTAAATGAACAAACACACTTAAAGGGCACAGAACACTGTGATGCATCCTAAGCGCTCAATAAAAATACGTTATTTAAAAGTGCACAATCTAAACATAATTTAACAAAGCAACATTTGCATTTACTTAATGGGATTTTTAAAAATCTGCATGGGTTATATGACGTTTCCAACATTAAGGGGAAACGCCAGGATGAATTTTATATAAATGGATCCTACGGTTATTTTCAAACTTAACCCAGAAATTTTTAAGTATTCCATGTAAAAAATATATAGACTAGAAATTAGGTTGTCTAAGACTCTAAAATAAAGTTCCAGTATCTTCATGGCTCGTCTGTACTCTACATAATCGCCAATAACTTTAGTAAGGAATAATTTCAAAATATAAATGGCAATACATATGAAGCAGTTCTGGCTGGTGGAATGTTGATTTAATACTCCCATTTTCTTCCCATCCAAGAAACTTATTTTCTATACTATTGAGGTCACTAGGTTTAACACTCCAAAGCCAACAGTATTTTATTTAGATACTTCCCCTAACAAGTCTTTACCGTGAAACATCTCAAAGTAAAATTATAAGCACATTACACTTCCTCCCAATTTTGGAATAGGGATTAAAAAAAACCCTCTAACTTTTAAACACTTCCTAACAAGTCACAATCTTCCATACATGGTTTCATAACAAGTTCTGACAGTTTAAAAAATACAATGGAATGTGTGATTTACATTTCAAGTACATAACATGCCGGGCCAATCATGTCACTTGTAGAGTAATGTTACTCAAGTATACCACTAACCCTTATTTAAATAAATTTTCTGGTATTTTATCATTGTAATTATTCCTTTAATATCCCAAAATGACATCATCAAGTGTAACAAAACCTCACCAACACATAAATGATTTCCCCCCCTTAGAAATCATAGATTTTAAAAGGTTACTAGTTACCTATAATGAAAGGGATGGGTTTACTTTTTGCAACTAGACCGTATAACATGTTAGGGCAATCATTTTAGATTCTGTATTAAAAATATTTTTGGAATAGCTTTACAAGAAGTCATTAAAAAAAAAAAGATTAATCCCTCTAGCCTAGTATATTAAATCTCATTACTTCACACTAAATGAACTTAAATGACTAAAAAAAAATAAGTTGAAAACATAATAGTTAATAAATTAAACATGACAGGTTTTGAATAAGCTTTAAATGGTTAACCCCAAATCTCCCCTTTTTCTTCATTTAATTCCAAGGGAGGAATCTTGTACTTTTACTTTTAAAATCAACTCTCAATCAGCTTTATAAAGTACACTCCAATTTACCTACAGGTTAAGGAATGGGGTTTCCTTAACCTCAAGGTTAAAGTTCTGGTTAACTGAGATTACTACACATTCACAATTCTATAAAGATTTTTATTGGAAATCAATTTAGATATCAACACTGAACTCAGAAAATGACTTTTACCTTGAATAATGAAACTTCAGAATCTTGCAATACTTTAATGTTACTTAATAGTAAATGGGAAAAACTATAGAAGATTCATTCTTTTATAAGACATTGTAACTTTTTGAGTCTATCTGCTGAGAGTTTTTCATCTATGCTTCTCATAAGACTAAAAGGAGGATTTTTCCTAGCTGTTTGGGTTTGTGATAATTTCAAGTCTAAGTAGAAATTTACAGAACATGACCCAATACTTAAAACTGTCACCTTGATTATCGACCAAACTGCCAGTAATACAAGTCTCCCCATCCCACCCCTAAATAGTCTTAAATGTCTAGCTCCAATGTACAATATAATACTCCAGAAACTGAAACATGCTTACCTTTACTCCACAGGAGTAAACCACTGGCAGTATCAACTATTAAGACACAGGATATATACACACAAGCTATGAAAGCAGGCTACGTAGTCAATCTTCCTTTGGTGAGCATTGTTTCCAACACTTTGATCAGCAAACCAAGTAACAAACATGTTATATTACCTGAGACCACATTGTTGGAAGTGAAGTAACAGTAACAGATCCCACGCTTCCAGCATCCACTTCAGTGCCCTATCCACTAAAATGTTGAAGCAAAACTAAAATGAAATAAAACTTGGACTAACAGAAGTTATGTTTCACTCCATTTGTGAACCCGTATACACTTGTGGTGCACAGCTTTAAGTAGAACAGGAAAAAACTTATTATTCTATTCCTTTTTAAATGCTTTCAAGGATGTCATATATCACTTGAAGGCTAATAAAAAGAATCATTCCTACATGTTGGCCATAAATCACAATAGATTAAAAACTTTCTTATATTAGGGCAGCCTTACAGATGACAGAATACCCAGGCAATACTAAAAGTACACAATAAATATACACTTACTTTATAGAAGAGGCCACATGACTTGAGGGAAAAAAACAAGGCTTAAAGCAAGTATATTTATCCTAAAAATCAGCACTGAAAAACTTAATGATATTCTCCAATTCCAAACCCAAAAGGTCAGGTAATTTTTATTATCTTTCATAATAGACAAGAATTTGAAATGGAGAGAAGTTAATGTTCCTTCCTTAGAGGGTCATCCTTTTTGAGATTTGGGGGCATCCATTTGTAAAATTTTAACACTGGAAACCTGTCAAAGGTTCCAAAGAATGCTAAAATTCAGATCCATCCAATTCAGGGCTTCACCTTTACAGTAAACCCAACTTTACTGAATCAAAAGCCAGTCAAGTTGGCACAAGACTGCTCTAAAAGTACTTGTTTTACAAAGCAAATGATATTCAGAATGCCCCAGAAGCACTAGGGTATAATCTCAAATATTTAAAACAAAAACATGTATAGTCCCATTTCTTAAAAATTTAGACAGGAGACAACCTATAGCAGAGTTCACTAAATTCCCAAACACGCAAAAAAAAAAAAAAAAACCAAAAACACCACACCTGAGCTTATATACACTATTAGAAGACTGGATCAAACATCCTGTTATTAGAAAAGTATTGCTGTCCTTTGATAACTTAATGGGACTATTTTGTTTCCTGCCCAATTGAATCTTGCAAAATTGTCTGAAAGCTAACCCAGTATTGTCATTTTTCACTGATCATGCGAGTCTGAAAATTGCCTTCAGGTAGCTTGCTACATGGCATGTATATTTTGCCACACACTGATTTTAAAGTACCTACCCTAAAAGAACTGCAGCCCTGTAGAGAACATAACGAGTCCAAACCAAAATGGGAAATTCCAGTGCAAATGCTTGTAAGTAAAAACTAAAGATATTAAAGTTGGAAAGATTAAAATGAGGTGAACTCAGGAAGGCATTTTACTATGGAAATGAGTCATTATTCTAAAAGACCATAGTAAACCGGAAACACCCACTAGAGGTGTAACAAGAATGCTCTCCTAAAACAGCTGTTTATTCTTATATTTAAAATTTTAAAAACCTTCAAGTCTACAAATTGATTTTTTAAATATTTTTAGGATCAAATACACACAGAAATGTGTTTAAGAAATTAAATTTAGATAATTTTATATCTACTAAGCAGTCTTATATTATTGAAACTAACGAACGAAACTGCTACACAATTTCCCTCAAACTGGGAGAGGGAGAAAAGAACAGACAGGGTTGCAAGTGCACAGACACCAAAAAGTTTAACGGTCTTAAGGTATTTTTTTCAAAAAGAAAACCGTATCTGTAAAAGGGTGAGACTGGGTGATTGGGCAGTAATTTTAAAAAGGCAAATATTAGACTTTAAAAATGAAAACACTTTATGTTAAATGTATACTTGCTAAACTTAAATGAACCTCAGTAAAATCCTATTTTCAGTGGATGATAATTGGCCAGAATTTAAAATGTTCATTAACTATAAACACTTAATTGTCCATTTTTTCTAAGAAGTCACTTAGAAACTTGTTAAGTTATAGTATTAGGTACCAGGGCAAGTATAATTCTTACAAGAGTCAAAACAGTGACCTTCAAACCTAAGTTTATGGTCCTTTCAAATTACTGAAAATAATTGCTTACATAAGATTTGAAACATGTAATGGAGATGAAACATCAAGTAGCTAGTATAATCTTAGTTTGCCACTATTAGCAGTGAAATTGAACTATCAGTGAAGGTATATCAGAAAAGGTATAATTTTCATCAAAAACATTTTCACTCTATGTGAAACTGACTCATGTTTTTGTCCTTTTCCCTTTAGCCCTACTGCTTCAGTCTGTTTTATCTCCAATATGAAACTGGACAGATTTCAGTGGATGAGAATATAGTAATAAGCAAAGCTCGTGTAAAATTTAATGTTATCCCAACTGGGCTCTTAAAAAAGAATTTGTACACATATAAGTCAACCATCTGCAAATCACTGGCCCTCTAAACTCCAGTGGTGGTGGATACAAAACTCCTGGAAAACTCAAATATAATCCTAAAGGCAGAAAGATTGACATTTAAGGGAATGGAATGATAAAAAGAACAATAGTCAATCTACCAGCCTTCCAAAGAGAAATCATGCAACTGTGAATACATACATGTCAACCAACCAACTATAATGAACATTCCAACCAAATCACACAAAATAAAAAATCTAATTTAAGAGCTGTAGTGGCAAGCCACATCAGCCCGCCTCTGAAAAATACATATCCAATTCTTATTCAAGTTATATTTACAAATATGGTTGGTGATTAAAAAAACATACATTTTTGTATAATACATATATGCAACATTTTAAAAATTGCTTTGCTTTTGACATCTCCACATATTTCAGTATAACATGCAAGACATTTTAAACACAAGATTTTATAGCACGTAACTGTCACATTTAGCATTAAATTTAGAATTCCAAAAATATTCTTAACAAAGTCAAATTTGAAATTACAGTATTGTTTTCTTGTCCAGTTAAAAATATATATATCATTACTAACTACATCAAGCTTTAATTGGCCACACCACAATTACATGCATTACCACAGACCAAAAACCATGTAATGGCATTAGTTTTGCCCAAAGATCATTCATGATGCCGAAAAAGGTTTTATATCCCAGGTACAAGATATCCTACTGTACTAATGACTAGAATTTCCTGGGGAATCAATGGGCAACCAACCAAAACACAGCCTCTGCAAGTTATGACTACTGAAACCTTTATTATACAGAAATAAAATTTAAAAGTTTTACCATTCTTCCCGCTGTGCCGTCGCTGCTTCAGTGTGTCGTGGGGAGGAGTTTGAATGGCTAGGGAATTAACAACCGGTACAGCAACCAATCAAAATTCTAGTTTTAGTTTTTGACATTGTTAGGGTTAAAAACTTTCAATTCATTTACACTTCAGTTCAACAGTAGATAACTACAAAGGCAGCTGCTTTGTGATTTGAAAAATTAGGTCTAAAAGAAAGCCTGCCCCAAACAGTAAGTTACAGTTAATCATTTTGGTGTCTCTGCCTAAAGAACAGAATTCAGAAAACAAAAACCAAAATATTAAATGCTTAAGTTTTCAAACATTTAACATATTCCTTCCTTAAATTGTAAATATATTAAGATTAACTAAGAAAAGCTAGTTTCCCATCCCACCTCCACTCTCCCGAAGTCAGCACAATCAGCATTTAACAGCCTAACAAGTATGCCTGGGCTGAGGTTAAGTACTATACTCCAAAGTGCTTCTCTCTCCCCTCCAAATCTTGTGCTCTTTCCCAATAAAAGAAATTGTTTTATAATACTGGGTTAAAGCGGCATTTTATTGCTTTTACCTTCCAACACCCTTCTCCTTATTAAGAATGGGGGGAAAAAATTTCACACACTACAAAAAGGAATGGAAGCGTTAACCCAAGATCAATAGTAATGAGAACAAGAGTAACACCCAAAAAAGAGCCTGATTTAGTCCCTCCTGCTAACTCCTGTATCATGCTCCCACTCCCAAATACTGCATTTTAATATATTAAGTGCAGCTTTAAGTAATATATTCCTCCAATTGGAGGAAATAAGTTACTTAAAACCCTGCAAAAAAAAGTCATGCCATAGCACAATACAGGATTTATTCATTTTTTGAAAAAAGGCTGGTGGGCCTCCTTTAACAGTGGATAAGAGCGGGAAGGAGAAATCAAGAGAGACCAAAAAAGGATCCTGGGCACCAGGTGGGGGAAAAAAGCGTTTTGTAAAAAAAAATGTAAGTTGCGCAGAAAAAGTAAAATGGATAACAGTACAATGTGTACAAACAATTGGAGAACCCAACAGCTGAGAGCGCGAAAAGGGTGCGCGATTAGAATTAACTTGGAGGGGGGGGGGCAGCCTGCAAGTCAGAGGTAGGAGGTATAACAGCTCCAGTCAAGTGCAGGCCCTGCCGACAGGGAACTTAACCGAAAGCCCGTGGAGCAAAACCAACGTCCCAACAGGCGACTCGCAGAATTTCACCTAGTCCAATTTGTTCCCTAGGCTGAAAAGTAGGGACTATGTAAGCAAGCCGTTGTGCGGTCGTGTATAAGAAGAAAAACGAATAGGTCGAGGGGAAACTTATTCCAATAAAATCTAAAAAAATTCGGCCTGAAACCGAAACGGAGCAAAGGTGGACAGCCTACACGTTCACCGAAGCATGTGCTTATTAAAAAAAGAGAAAAATCGCATCGTCTCAGGATGATGGAGTGAGAAGCACCGAATAAAACTCAGTTATCCAGGCATAAAGGCTTTTGTGTCTGTCTGCGTTTTTATGTCCGGGACTTTAAGAAACTGGAAACGGAGGAGACAGAGGGAAAAGAAAAAAGGTACCCCTCGGCAGGCGGGAAAAAATCCTGGCGGCTAAGTCGATGGGAGGAGACCCAAGGCAAGGGAGGGAAGGAGGGCGGGCCGGGGAGAAGCATGGTGACGGCTAAAGGTGGAAACGTGTGTGATGGGGGAGGGGGTAACAAGCAGGCAGGGGGAGAAAGATATGAAAACCCCGGGGAGCCCAACGTAGAGAAGAGGACTGTGCGAGGAGGCTGCACAGGGGCCTGGAGGGCGGGCGGAGAGCGGGAACGAGGCCTAATGGCGGAGAATAGGGAGGGGGAGGGGGGACTACTTGGGCCTGACTATCCCCTGCCGCCCCTTACTCACCCTTCATCCTCCTCGTTCTTACTGGCATCGATCTTCGCCCCCTCCGACTCGGCGCTGCCCCCTTCGGTGCCGCCGGTCGCGGTTCCGCCCCCAGTCCCGGCTCCGCTTCCCGCCGCCGCCGCTGCCCCCTGCGCTGCTGCCACCATGGCTCCCTCCTGCTCGCCCGCCGAGCCGCCTACCGCTGCCGTTGCCGCCGCCGCCGCCCCGTCCCCGCCGAACTGCTCCTCCGACATAGCGCTACTGCCTCCGCTGCCGAAGAGACTACACCCGCCGCTGCCGCGAACCGAAACTAGCAGCAAAGTAATCCCCGCCGCTGCCGCGCGCTCGCTGTACCGCGCGAAGCACACAAGACAGAGAAGGCGCGCGTGGTTGCAAAGGCTCCTGCGCCTCTCCCTGGCCTGCCCCCCTCACCTCCCACTCTCGCGCAGCGCGCACTCCCGCTCTCTTCGGCTGCACTAAAAAAGAATAAGAAGCAGCGGCGGCCGCTCTTGCCTCCTCCTCGCTTTAATGGCGCCGCCGCGGACCACCTAAAATGGCCGACGGAAGAACGGCGCGTCCCGGTCACGTGACGCGCGAGCGCGCCCTTTGCACCTCCCCCGCCCCTTCTACCGCTATTTTTTTTCCCTCCTTCCTCCTCGGTCCTGCCCTCTCCCTCCCTTTTATACCTTCCTCGCACGCGCCGCGCCGCACAGCGTGGGGCCTTTAAAAGGAACCGGAAATGGCGTTCGATAAGACGGCCGCGCGGGGACCATCGAGAACAAGGAGCGCTGTTTCGAATGTGCGGCTAGAGGTGCCCCTCCCTCTGCCCCCGCCCCTCCGAGGGTTCCTGGAGTCCGCTCACCCACCCACCCCACATTCCCCAGCAGCCGGCGGAGACTGGGCGTCGGGCTGGGCGTGGTAGCACCTCCCGGAAGGGGACTCTACCCTGTGCGTCTGCGGCGTTGGGATGGGGGAGGGGAGGCGCGCACTCGGCGGCTTCTTATGTCACAGAAGTTCCCGGCCGGAGAAAGGGACGCTGCGCTCCGGTTTTGGCCCCGTGCGTCCGACTTTGTCCAGAGCTGCGCCTGGGGACGCCTGGCTCGCCGACGCGGAGCGAGACGCCGCGGCGGACTGCGCGCGTGCACGGACTGCCGCAGATTCGTCTCCCGCGACCAGGTGACATTGAAGTTTCGCTGGCTGTCGCCGCCGCCCTTTCGACCCGGGCGGGCAGCCCGGGACCGCTGGCGGTTAGGGCTTCTTTTTCTTTTAAGGTTTGCTTTCCAAATAAGATTTTTTTTCTTTGCCTGTTTTTCTCCCGAAAATTTTCGTCTAAAGAAGTAGGTAACTTGCATTTTTTAAGGAACCGGGATTGTTTTGTGCGCTTTGTTTGAAGATCTTAAAACTTAACACGATTCTTTGAAAATTTTAAGAGTTGGAAAAGTGTGTTAGATCAACTAAGGGTTCATTTAATTTAATGATTTGTAGTCCTTGTATTAAATAGAATATAAAAATGCCGTGACTCATCTTTACAAGGTTTCTGAGTTTGTTGTGTTGTAGGATTTGGGTGTGCTTTTTTAAAACACCGCTAGGCGTTTCATTCAGGGTAATAGTAACGTTCTTTAATAGACCCATTAGAAATCCCAAATGCCTTTGCTGGAAACTAGATTATTCGGGCTTTGAGATTTGCAGCTTCCTGCAATACACTTAGAAGAAAATGTAGTTTTTAGGTACTTCTTTAGTCAACAAATTGCCTGTTTAACATGTGCCCAGGCACTGAGGAAACAGACTAGTGCAAAATTCAGGAAAAGAACTCAAAAGCTTAAGTACTTTCCACCATGTAATTAAGTGAATTTGTCTCAGTTGAACACTCCAAAAATTTCGAAGATTAAAAATATGTAATTTTTTATTCATCAAGTGAGCAAAATTTGCATTACAGAATAAGTAAAACTCAAGAATACAGATGAAGTTATGAAAACATCTTAAAAAATATAATTGTACTGAATTCCTGTTATTAAGCAAATGCTGCGGGCAATGCCTAGAATGGGTATCTTAGATCAAGTAGTAGTGACTTTGGGTATGTCTCCACCGGTGAAAATAGTAGCCAAGAAGGAAGTGGGTATAGTAAGTCCGGTTCCCGGATAACGTTTGTAAGTCGGATTCGTTCGTAAGTCCGACAAAGTGAATCTTATACACCTTTGATACAAATATACAATGTAAATAAAGCCAATGGTTGAACGATTCATGTTATAACAATGAGTGACGGCTACCATCTTTTCGCCTTAGTCCAGTCTCTCAGTTATTTTCACTTTTGTTTCCATGGTTATTGCTTTGCACTTCCTAGCAGTCCCCTCCACATCACCACTGGTTTTCCTCTTGCTTCCAGACATCCTGGGCTCTGATTGAGCACTGTACTACTGTACACTATCACACTGTACAGTAAGCACACAGCAGCACAACTGTGACAATGTCTGGCAGACACATGAGCTACTTCCGCGATTTGTTCGCATCTACGAATGTTCTTAGCACGAGGTCCATTCGTATCTGTGAAAGTTCGCAACTCAAATGTTCGTAAGTCGGGGACTTACTGTATTGTGCTCAAACCAAATATTCCAATTTAAGGATAACTAAGATCACCTGAAGGGAGGTATCTTGAATCTTTTNATACTTCTCTCCACAATTACTTGTTATTTTACTTTCTTATTAGTTATTTTGCATACTTTCAAATGGAAATTTCCAAATACACACTAGACTAGAAATAACTAATGTATCCATCACCAGCTTTAAAAATTATCAATGTTATGGCAATGTTGTTTATTTCTACCTCTTCATTTTTTATGTCGTAAATACCATGTACCATATCATTTTAGCATAAATATATTTGTATGTATTTGTAACAGGTTAGAACTTCCTTTAAAAGATAATTAAATACTATTATGATGTCCATGTTCAAATTTCCCTTAATGTGTTTAAAATTTGTCTTGTCATATTTGATAGTTCAGATATGTTTTAAATAAAGGTACTCGTATTTATTTTGTATTGGATAGATGTTGGTTTTTTTTAGTAACAGATTTAAAGACATATAATTTATATACCATAAAATTTATATTTTTAAATGTACAACTTAATGGTTGACAGTATGTTCACAGAGTTTTGCAGTCATCACCACTTTAGAACATTTTCTTCACCCCAAAAAAATAATCCCATGCACATTAACAGTCATTCTCTACTCTGTTTTCACCTAGCCCCTGGGCAACTATTAATCAATTTTTTGTCGCTATGAATTCACATATTTTGGACATTCCATATACATGGAATCATATAATATGTGACCTTTTTTTTAAAGATTTTTATTGGGGAATGGGGGGATGGGAACAGCACTGAGGAATTGGGGAAGGGGAACAGACAAGTTTGCTGTCCTTTTGTTCTTCAGTCTAGTTGTGGAGGATGTTGCTTCACTGGCCCAAGTTGGCACCATCATTGCGCTCTTCCTGGGCAAGGCAGACAGTCGCCGGCTTCTGAATAGCTGCTCACTACGGCTGCTGGCCGCTCACGCTGGCTGCCAGCCACACACGGTAGCCCATGGCAACCCACTGCAGCAGGGGCTGCAGCCTACGCTGCCACCGGCGACTCACAGCAGCCCAGCTCCAGGTTGAGCTGTTGTTCAGCATTTTAGCTGAAGGGGCAATGTCATTGGCCCTCATATGTGGGATCCGAACTGGGACCCTCTGGCGTCCCAAGCCAGCCCTTAACCAATGCGCCACTCGACCGGACCAATATGCGACCTTTTGATTACAGCTAATTTCACTTTGCATGATGTTTTCAAGTTTCATCCATGTTGTTGTATGTATCAGTACTTTATAACTTTTTATGGTCAAATAATATTCTATTGTACAGATATATTTCATTCATCCATTCAGCTAATGAACATTTGGATTGCTTCCTCTTTCTGTCTATTATGAATAATGTTATCATGAACATTTGTGTATAAGTTTTTGTGTGGAAATGTTTTTATTTTTCTTGGGATTTACCTAAGAGTGAAATTCCTGGATCATATGGTAACTCTACATTTAACTTTTTGAGGAAATGTCACACTGTTTTCCAAAGTGGCTCTACCATTTTACATTCCAGGCCAGCCAAGCTATGAGGTTTCTATTTTCTCCATATCTACACCAAAACTTATTGTCTGTCTTTGTGATTTAGTCATCCTAGTGTATGTGCAGCAATATCTCATTGTGGTTTTGATATTTGCATTCCCCTAACAACTAATGATGTTCAGCATCTTTTTATGCACTTTTTGACCATTTGTTTATATTTCTGGAGAAATATCTATTTGGATCTTTGCCCACTTTATAATTGGGTTATTTGTCTTTGAGTTGTAAGAAAAATTAGATATATACTCATTTTTTATATAATCAAGTTATCTTTTATCAGATATGTTTTGCAGTACTTTCTGCCATTCTGTGGCTTGTCTTCTCACTTATTTGATGGTGTCCTTTTGAAGCACAAAAGTTTTTCTTTTTTTTTCTTTTGCACTTGTGCTTTTGGAAAGTGTGCCTCATCCAAGGTCACAGCTAATCCTATGAATCTATGTGTTCTTCTAAGAACTTCGTTGTTTTTGCTATTACATTTAGATCTTCCATCCATTTGCAGTTAATTTTTGTATATGTTATGAGGTAAGTGTTCAACTTTATTTTTTTTTTGCACCTGAATATCAAATTGTTGCAACACTGTTTGTTGGAAATACTATTCTTCTATTGAATTGTGTTGGCTACCTTGTCAAAACTCAATTGACCATAAATATAATGATTGATTTATGTACCCTCAACTCTATTCCATTGTTCTATATGTCTATCTTTATGCCAGCACAACACTGTCTTGATTACTGTAGCTTTGTAGGAAATTTTGAAATCATGAAACATGAGTCCCTCAGCTTTCTAAAGATCGTTTGGCTTTTTGGGTCCCTTATATGTCCATACAAATTTTAAAGTTAGCTTGTCATATTAGCAAAATGTCCAGCTGAGGGTTTGATAATGATTGCATTGAATCTGTAAATCAAATTAGGGGACTATTGCCATTTTAACAATATTAGGTTCAATCCACAAACATGGGCTATATTCTCACTTATTTAGGCCTTCTTTCATTTCTTTCAACAATGTTTTATAGTTAACTACAATATTTACAAGTCTTACATTTCTTTTGTTAAATTTATTCGTAAGTGTCTCATTCTTTTTGGGGCTATTGTAAAAAGAATTGTTTTCTTAATTTCATTTTTGAATTGTTCATTGCTAGTGAATAGATTAAAATTGTTTTTTGTATATTGATCTTGTACCCCACAACCTTGCTTATTAACCCAATTATTACTTCTAATATTTTTGTGGATTCTTTAGTATTTTCTATATACAAGATCATGTCATCTGCAAACAGATAGTTTTACTTCTTCCTTTTCAATCTGGATATCTTTCCTTTCTCTTTCTTGCTTTACTCTCCTGGCTAGAACCTTCCGTATATTGTTGAATAGAAGTAGGAAGAGTTGACATCATTGTCTAGTTCTT